CATATTATGTAATTTTTAAGTTGTTGCATTTTAATACAATAATTTATGATTTTAGTGCTTCTGCACTCATAGATGCCAACATATATTGGAGGGACGGGATACCGTCACAACCCTCAAAGGGGCTTGTGAGATTGACAACCCATTTTGTAACCATTCCATTTGTTCTCTCTCTTGTCTCTTTCTTCTTTTTTTCAAATCGATGGTTGAGATTAAATGAAGGGTATTTTTGAAAGTGGAAAAACTTAGCACACTCAATCATACTCTCTCCTATATAAATAAAAAACCCTAACTCCTCCTTGTCCCCCTCCTCCCTCTCTCCTGCAGAAGAAACCTCCCTCTACCCCCCGGCGTCTGCTGGAGCTCCCTCAACCGGCGGGATAGCCGCCGCCGCCGACCCCCTCCCCCTGCCTCCCTCCACCGCCGCCACCTTTCCAGTCGTGCCGCATCGCTCCTTTACTTTCCTCCACCACATCCCGCGACCCTCCTCCGCCTCCCTCCACCCTCTGCCGTGCCCTCCGCCACCCTCATCCACTAATGCCGTCGTCGGCTCATTTGCTCGCCTCTTTCGGTGTGAGTCCCTCTTCCACTATACTCTTCCTCTCCTCCTCTTCATTTTTCATATATGTGGTTTTTGAATTTTCAAATATGTTTTTTTTTCTAGTGGTACTGATTTTCTTCTGGGATTGGTACTAGATGGAGTGGTACGCTACCACTACCATATTTCGTCCATTGTTGACCATGCTCGAGGCCTCTATTTTGGTCTCCTTTTCTTCTTAAATCTCTAGTTTGCAATGCAGACTGGGATTCTCTTCAAGCCACCCTTGACGATGCTTTTAGCGTCCTTGCTTTCTCTTGCCGGCACGATGTCCAACCCGAGTTCAGGGGCGTCAAGGGCAGGGGTTGGTAATGTCGTGGTTTTGATGGTTATTGGTGGCGCTGATAATGGCTCCATGGCAGACGATTTTTCTTCTTCGGTGGTAGCCTCCTCTTTGGCGGCGATAGCATGGGATGTGACGGAATCCACCTCCTGATCTGCTGCATGTAAGGCAAGGGTCGGACTGGCCTCTATTGTTTTTGCCGCCAACCCTTCTTCTTTAGTATCCGTTGTCGACCAAAGTTCAATAGCAGCTGGAACAGCAGTCAGCTCTTCGAGCTGTGTGGTTTATGCATTCTCTTTCAACAAGGTTTTGATCTTGGGAAATTGGACAATCAACCTGTATCTGCTAAACCAGCGAGTGGCGAATTCGTTGGTGTCAAAATCCGACCTGAGCCTAACCTTTACTTCGAAGCGACCCCACCTACCATCTTCATCCAATTGATGTTCCTCGTGGACTGTAATATAATGGACAAAGATTTCACGTTTTTCGTCTTGAACCATTAAGTCAAGGAGAAGAACATCTCGATGTATATCGGTCACTAGTTTAGTGACTTTGGGGATGAATTCTTCATAGTCATGTCATGTTGCCATGGTAAGCAAGCTGTAGAACTTGTCCCTGGTTGAGAGTTTAGATGTACTTGATCTCGCAATCGGGCTCTGATAACAAATGTTAGAAACACGTTTCTAACGGGTATTTGGATCGGGTGGCTATGTGGGAATTTAGGGGATTAGAAATACAAAATTAGGGATTGAGAAGAGAATTGGTGAAGAACAAAGATAGACTGGTCGGGGGCCAGAATTGGGAAAGGAGAGAAAATGAGAGGATTTGGGAGAGAATATGGTTTATGTATTTTCTTAATATTTTTCTTATTGGTTCCGAATGAATAGACCAAGTACATATTTATAGGGAATATAGGAAAATTCTACTACAAACCTAATTCTAGTAGAAAACTACTAACCATAATAAGGGTTACCCTAATAATAATAATAATAATAATAATAATAATAATAATAATAAGGCAAAATGCATCTGCATAGCCAAAAGTTTCGCGTTTGTGACAAAAATAGCCACTTTTCGAGAAATACCAAAAATAGCCAGAATTTTAAATTTTGCATTACAAATATAGCCATTTCCGTTACAAACTTTAACGGTGTTAAAAATTCCGTCAGTTATATTAACATTACGCTGACTAGGATGCCACCTCAACGCACACGTCAGCAATAACTAGGGCCAAACTTGCCACATAGATTCCACGTCAACCATCTAAAAACCTAACAAACAAACAAAAAATGCGGGGAAAAAAAATCCATGCTCCTGGAATTCTCCTCCTCACCTTCCCCGCACCTACCAATCCATCGCCGGAACCCTTCCCATCAAACTAACCTCCCACATCCCCACCAGCCTCTCTCATGTCTTCTCCTTCCTCTCCAAGGACCGCAACGTCCCCAACAACCAATTCCGCAGAGTAATCAACAAATGCCCCGCCTCTTGAGAGCAGCGCCGCCGACAGGCAATGGGTGAAAACCCGACTCTGTACTCAATCGGGATAACAGAGAAACCAAATAACCCATCAAGAACCGACTCATCCACGGGAGGTACATGATTAAGATCCGGCACCCATATTCTCCTCCAATAGAATGTCCAATGCTTTTTTCCCCACAAAGAACCGTACCTTTCCCAATGAAATCTAGAAACCCAAGAGAGAATACGATTGAATCTCAAAACCCAAATCTGTACAGCCACTCGGAAGCACCGCCTCTTCTCGCAGTCACCATCTCCGTCTCCTTCCCCAATCTATGCCACACCCAGATCCATCCAGTTGTGGTGTGAGGGCTAGGAATAAGGGCATCTCGATTCGCTTGCTGGCTCTCGCCCTCAGCCAGTACGTCGCTGCGACGAACAGGGGCAGAGTTAGAGGTGATGGGAATCATATGTGGGTTGGGTTTCTCCTAGGTGATTATGGTGGATTTTGGCTGCCGAATTGATGAATATCGGAGGCGGATCGGAGACAGCTTTGGTCGTTGGAGGATTTGCCGAATAGTAGTGGGTGCTGGGGGAATGGAAGGGGAAAGAATGGGTGTTGGGGGAATAGAAGGGGAGAGAGAACATAAATAAATAAAATTTTATTTATTTTTTAGTAAATTCCATGTCATATTTTTATTTATAAAATGTCGACAGGTCAGCTATTCCGTTAATCCAGCCAGTCTGTTAGATGACACCGTTAAAGAATTAGACGAAAATGGCTATTTTGTGTATTTTTTTCAAAAGTGGCTATAATTGGCATAAACGTGAAAGTTACGGTTATACAAGTGTATTTTGCCTAATAATAAATATAGGAGCCCGAAAGAAATAAGTGTCTAACAATTTGTCATCAACTGGACCAACTCAGTTGAAGGCCAATCTGGATATTACATAAGTGCTTGAGTTTAAGTCTAGGTATGTGTGGTATCCGAGACCTGTGTGATTTTAGCTGCAGTTTAATTCGGCTCTTCATTAAGTCCAGTCATTCTGAAAATGCAAAAATGAACTGTAGTGTAGTTTTTACTTTTGTTTCATTGGATTCCTTCTATAGTTCTATTTGTAGTTATTTGGTTGCATTAATATTGAGTCTTGACAGTTGCTGCCTCAAACAGATTATGAAATTGCTTTTTCATTTGTTTTTAGGGACAAAAATCTCAATGCACATGTGCCGCTTCCTGAAGTCTCAGCTGCTGAGATTCAAAAATCTTCAATAGCTCGGCTAAATGATTTTAAAACTATGGAAGCACATAGTGTACTCTTTGTTTTTTGTAGTATAGGTGTCTTCAGTTCAACACCTTCTTTTATTCCTAAACCAAGTTTTTATTTCTGCTTTGAATAAACTTCAGGACAAACTATTTTGGATTGAAGGAAAGGTGACTCACGTGCGTCCTAATTGGTGTTACATGGGTTGTATTGCGTGCCTGCGGAAGGTGGAGGAGAATCTTGAAGAGTATTTTTGCGGCCACTGTAAGACATCATCTTCCATTGCTAAAGCCAAGTAAGCTAATAACCTATTTTCTTGGATGAGATATGAGGATGTATGATTTTGTTAACATTTTTTTCATGGTCACTGTAGGTATAGAGTTAAATTCTAGCTGGAAGACAATACTGGAGAGGCTGATTTTGCTATCTTAGAGCATGAAGGCTGCATTTTTTTGGTGTCATGGCTGATGAGTTATTCCAATCAAACTAGAGGTACAAAGAAGCTCTTCCGCTCCACATTCAGCAGATTGTCAACATGACACTGAAGCTAACTGTTAACCTAACTCATTTTAACATCATGAACCCACAAACTGAGATCTCTGTGGTCAACATTGACCATAGTTCTCTTCAGGTAAATGAACTTCCAGCTCTAGATAAGTTTAGTTTGGTTGCACCCTACCAAATTAAGTTCATAGCTTTAACCTACAAGTGATTTGGCCGTTAGATCTACTACCATGAGCTCAAACCAATCTCAATGGTCAATTATTATTTTCTATTAAATTGAAATTTCGGTTTGCGTCTAGAGAATCGGGGTCTGAGGTTTATCCATAGAGGTTAGGATATAGTATCATACCTTAACCTCGGTTTAATTCATGGTCTAGATAGTGATATCTCACTGAGAGTACCTGAAATATAGTATACTCCATGAGTAACCAGTCTCACCCGATATATATGTGGATGATTCTTTCGTACACGAGGAAAAAGCTGGTGTATGACGTATACCAAGCATTCTCCACCGTACGCGTCCATCTCAATTGTCAACATAAATACGATAATTTATTTTATAATCCCACAAAAACATAAATACTGAAAGTTGAATGGACACCAACGATACGGAATACCTTGTGTACGATAGACGTCACCAAATATATACATGGGTCGTATATGGGCCAGACTCATTTATTCATAAAGCATACTATGCTCTTAGAGCATACGAGAGTCGTCTCCATATATATTGTCATGGAAATCCAACGTACAAAATATAATAAAAAATAACAGGGATGGGTGCAACGTCCAACCAATTAAATATTAGGAATAAAAAGAATAAAGGAATGTGTGCCAATCGGATCGGCCCTCCCTAATTTAAATATAAAAAATCCTAAAAATAAGAACCGGATGAGTACATGGAAATGCAAATAGATTGCAAGAGCCAAGAGATGGTATTTTGGGTTATTATAACTAGTCACAGATCTGGTCAGTTGGCCGGATTCATTTCGAGAATTGAGTATACAAAAATAGCAATCAATATGCAAGATACGTGTTTGTTTGGTAGTATAGGAAATTCAAAGTTATTAGAATACTAAAAAAATAAATTAAATATGAACTATGATAACAAACTTCATGTCCTATAAAATTTTCCATCACCTAATTATTTATTGTCAATAGCATTTCATGATGCAGAGTTAATATAGCAAAGATGAACCCAATAATTTCCTTGACTGTAATTCAAGGAGATTACCATAGATATGATTCACAATATCAACATTTCTATCTCTTCCACGTGGAATGCTCAATGAAGTTGGAAGAGATCATTGACTCCCAAAAACTATTGTAAGCCACTCCATCACCTCTATGCAAAATTCATTTTATGAATTATTTAATTTGAATAGCTTCTTCAGGCCCAAGGTTTTGTTCACAATACCATATTTTGAGAGAACTTCAAAATTTTCAATGAAGCCAAATAGATACCACCTTTTGATAGAAAATTTTACAATATGTGCTCGCGTTCCCTTAGTAATTACAATGGCTAAATTGTAAGTTTGGTCACTCGAATTGCTACAAAATTTCACGTTTGGTCACTCGAATTCGTTTATTCCATTCGTAGTCACTTAAATTAGTTGAACAGTCCAAGTTCGGTCACTCTCCGTTAACTTCCGTCAGACTCCGTTAATGTCGTCAGTTAACTGCTGACGTGGCTAACAGAGATGCCTAGTCACCCAATTTTAACCCAAGAAAAAACAAAAATTGACCCGCCACGTCAGAAAAACGTGCCACCTCATACAAACACAACCCAACCCACCCCAACCTAAAAAAAACCATTAACCCACCCAGAAATCGAACCCGTGACCCATCCGCCCTTCTTCTTCCTCCTCTATACCCTGCTTCCGCCGCCGCTGGGGGGATTTCCCCTCGATCTCCCTGCTGCAGCTCCGCCGCCGGATCCAGGGATTGGGATGGAACCACTGCAGCACCGTCCAGTCCACTGCAGGAACATTCAATTGAAGTCTGTTTCTCATAAGTTATTAGTAAAATTCCCAGGGGAAAAGTGACAACTAAGGTAAAGCAAGATCCTTGATTTATCTAAGAATTCTGCGTTGTTTTGGTGGAAGTGTGTGCAAAATTCCTAGTGCCCCACAAGCTGTAGCAAAAAAAGAATGAAGCAAGAAGGGTGACTGACAAAGTGACGATCCTGAAACTTGAGTTGCAATCAAGGGCAAGAGGAGGGAGGGAATGAGAAAACAAGGCAAGGCAGAAGGAAAAGACAGTATTGCTGAACTCACCCCATTCCCATTGGCAAGCAAAAAAACCATGTTCAATGAGCTGAAAGCAGAATGGAAAGAGGGGGAAAACAGCCCCCAGGGGAAGGATAGAGGTATGAAAATCCTCCTACCACGGAAGTTGCGTTTGGGTTGGTCGTGTGAGATCTCGGAATCGCCCGCCACCAAATACCCTCCCTCAAAGCATAACAAACTCAGGTGCTAAAGGCAGAACCCACCACCACCAGCCACCAACAGAAACAAAATAACTCCAATCCGTACGGACAAATCCCCTGGAACCTAATCAACGAACGGACAGTCCCAGCTTCTTCTTCTTCCTCTTTGCTCTTGATATGGGTGTGGAAGGCCAAGGAGGAGCTCCGCTGAGTGTTTCTCTGTCTAGAAAGTTGAGAGGGGAGAGAGAGAACCCCGGCAATGCGAGCTGGATCCGCCTCAACCGTTCATTCTTTGTCTCTCTATTCCGACTGCTTTTTGTTGTTGTTGGCTCTGGATTTTGCTTTTGGAAGAGGCGAGAGGGGCTCTGCTGCGGACTGCGAGCTAAAGCTAACAAAGACTACAGACAGCAGGTATTTAATTGTGGACTGGACGCTGCTGCAGTGGTTCCGTGACCCAATCCCCAATTGTGGACTGAACTTCGACCCGGAAATCTGGATCCGGCGGCGGGGGCTGCAGAAGGGAGATCGAGGGGAAATCCCCCGGCGGCGGAGCAGGGTATAGAGGAAGAAGAAGGGTGGATGGGTCACGGGTTCGATTTCTGGGTGGGTTAATGGGTTTTTTAGGTTGGGTGGGTTGGGTTGTGTTTGTATGAGGTGGCACGTTTTTCTGACGTGGCGGGTCAATTTTTGTTTTTTCTTGGGTTAAAATTGGGTTACTAGGTATCTCTGTTAGCCACGTCAGCAGTTAACTGACGACACTAACAGAGTCTGACGGAGGTTAACGGAGAGTGACCAAACTTTAACTGTTCAACTAATTTAAGTGACTACCAATGGAATAAACGAATTCGAGTGACCAAACGTGAAATTTTGTAGCAATTCGAGTGACCAAACTTGCAATTTAGCCTAATTACAATATCAACAATGTCATCTCCGTCACGTGGAATGCTCAATGATCTTTGATTTGATACCATTGACTCCACCAAGCGGAAGCATTTTCTCTCCTCAACGCAGTAATGCTGTCGGCCTAAAAGATCTGTCCCATGTGTGTTAAGTCAGATTGTGAGATCATGACACTGGCTTTGAAGAAGCCTTTAGATCTCTAGCCATGGCAGTGCAGGACAACGTTGGCCCGGGTCACCGAGATTCTCTAGTCTGCACCCTAGATCATAGTAGAGTTCACTCCAAGACATTTTTAAGTCCTTGCTAATTGGGTGGCACAGAGTGCTCGTGATGATTGTTTACCAATGGAATGGGTTACTATAGCAAACCTGATCGCACCACTATTGTAAACTTGTTTGCTACCCTTGTTTCGGTTTTGGAATAAAAGTTCATCTTTCCAAAACATTGCACACCACTCTGTCACCTCTATGCAAAATTCATTTGCTAAATTATTCAATCTGAATAGGTTCTTCAGGACCAAAATTTTCCCCCCACAATCTCATATTTTGAGAGAACTTCAAATCTATCAATGAAGACCACATAAATATGACCTCTTGTCTCTTGGTAAAAGAATTTACAATATCTGCTCGATTCGGTTAGCCATTACTTGTAAGGTTTGTCAAAAATCTTCACCGAACACAACATACATTACTCAAACTTCATATCCCCACTGTTTGGATAATTCACATGCAAAATGTCTCTGAGTTCAATCCACTGCTTCAATATTATGCTTATGAGTCATAGGAGGTTCATTCCAAATAATAAGAGAAGCATCACTAATCAACTTTGCTAACTCGCTTTCTTGTTCATATGACATGTTGATTTTGACTCACAATCCATTGGAATATGAAATCGAGAATGAGCATTTCTGCCGCCAACGATTAGCAAAGCTAGGAGAAGAAGCAATGGCAAACTATTTTCTTTTATGCCTGTAGTTTGAAACAAACAACCTTCCAAAGAAATGTCTTCCATGTATCCCCAAATCGATCAAAAAAGTTGCCATTCCCATTTTCTTCTTCCATACCCTGAACAATTTCATCAAATGCCTTCCTCTACTTTTAATTCAATTTTGGATATGTTCCATTGAATTACTTCATTATATCTTGTGGATTGTAATTTGACCATTTTACTGAATGCCTTCCTATGTGATGAAATATATAGCCTGTTGGCCGAACTATATTGTGGTGGAATATGTAGACAACCTCAAAGTTCCATTTCTCTAAGCATGAGAATTAGAAAAATTAATTTTTATTTTATGATTAATGACACTAATTTCACGACCAATCTATATCCGTAATAAACATGTTTCGTGCAAATTAATACACACTAATTCATGAAATTGAGAAGTATTATTGGGGAAAATTTTGAGAATTACAAAAATACATAGTAATAATTTTATTTACTTCACAAAGGTGAAGAAGATCTACGGAAAAAAAATTTAACATGTTATGAGTTATAGGACGAAGAAATAAGATAGAGGACAACACAGGAGAGACGACTTAGAGCTCGTTTGGGAAAAAAATTTGGATGATGGATCCATTGAATTCATAGATTTGACAAAGATTTTTTTTCTATTGTGAACTTTAATTTGAGTGATTTCAAAATTATTAAATCTAGAGATATCAAATCTCTCATAATTAGAGAGATATAATTTTTTTCTCATACTTTATCCCGTCTATTTAATTTATTCTACTAAATAACCTCATAAATAATTTCTCGCTATTTCTTGAGTCAGTCTACTCATTTAGTTATAGGTAAACTCGTTATTTGATAAAAACTAATATTTTTGTTTTTGTTCAAATGTTAACTATTATAGTTAGCAAACAAAGAACATTTAAAATATTTTTTTAACAATATGAGAGTAATAATGTTTGAATAATTCATATAAAAGTTAGATAAATGATTTAATCATTACCTGACATTCATGATTTTACTCGAAATGCTCCATCAATAACATATAATTCTCATGCTATAATTTTGTGATTTAGCTATAGATTCCCAACCATTAATATACTACGTACCTTAACCACGTATTATGATATGCCTTGTTGTTGGCAAACTTGTTTTTTGGCCCGAGGTTGTAAGTTCCTGTTTCTCAACAAAGAAAAGTTATCTCTTTGTTACCATTTATTTACCTCATGTCTAAATTTTAATTGAGCATTCTTGATGTTTAGTTCACGACTATTGTCAATTTTTTTAAGACAAATTGTCAAAGTACAAATTCCCCAAGCCCTTCTCCTCAAAACCTATGTGTATCCCCTTGGTTAAGGTTTTAAAAGTTACCGAACCTTCAATCAATAAATCTTGATAATTAATAATGTGTTTGAACTTTGTCCTAAACCCTAACCAAGTGATTCATGGGTCATGGCCAAATTATAATTTAGGCGAATATTATGTGTCTCATCAGTTTCATCTATGATTGGTCCCATGTATAATCTTATTATGCCATATCCATCGGTGGAATTGTAAAGACCACCTACAACCAACCATGATTACATATTAAACAAATATTTGGTGTCAAGTGGTTTTATGCGAGTAAACTGACAACGTATTATAGATTAGTTGCTTTTGGCCAATCTTATACAGGTGTAACACACAATTGAGTATAATAATTTTATTCAACAACGACATTAAGTACACAGTATACTATTGATTAAACTACTACATATTATTTCTTTAACTTTTAAGTATAACCATCAGTATGTTTTCATAAATCAATATTCTTTCATTATTAAATTTTTTTATATGATATGGTATGTCTTATAAGTTTATCTGTCCTTCCACCATAAAACTTCCAAACCGAAAATACATTCCCCTTTTTTAATTTACTGGAGCCCAGAAATCAGCTCCGGTTGGCTGGAGATTAATAATCCTAGTTAGTGGGCCAGTAAATTGATTTTTCATTCTCATGATCCAAGCCCGCAACACCCAGTTAAATGAAGAATATTTGTAACAATAAAATGTAAAAATACCAAGCAGCCCTTCTTGACATTGCGGAGAGGCATGGAAATTTTGATTTAAGTGAGTGTTACCGTAGAATCTCCATTAGCATGGCCCCGGACAGTTGGTCGGAGGAAGATGAGGTATGAAATTTGATAATGTAATGGGGTGTATAGCTTAATGTTGTATAGTTTTTTTTTTTTTTGGAAACTCGTGATAAAAATAGTGAATTTTAGTAGGAAAGAGACATGAATGATGCAATGAATCAAAAATCGGCCTTATGAACCTAAATCAAGTACAAGTTACCTTGTGAAATAATATTGTTTCTGGTAATATGATGAGGTGGAGTAAGTTTTACAGAAACCGAATTCCATAAAATCGAATAAAAAATCGTCTATCCCGTCGATTTTCGGGAAATGGGCATCTCACAATCGTTGCTAGCTTTTACTCGGCCCGTTGGTTGATTAATTTGCTTTATAAAACTTTCATCTTGTCGTCATTGTGCTTTCTGGTTTTTGTTAGGCCATGATAAAATCTAAGGAAATTAAGAACGAACAACACGATTTGGGATAGGAACCGCCGTTGTCGTATCCCTAGAAAATGGTCGTAAACACAGACTCACCTGCCAAACTGGTTTGGTTTGAGATTTTTATCGGGTATCAGGGAACCATGTGATTATAAATTAGACTTGATCAAAACGGGCCAAAACTTGAAATTCAGCATGTTTGACCGACCCATGCCAAGTTCTAATTATTCTTTACTTTTAAATTTTCTATTTGAAAATAAAAAATAGTGAAAGAAAGAGATGACTGCAATTCGCCATTTGCACATCATTTATTTGGGAATAAAACCATAAAAATTCAAAAGAGATAACCGTCCATGAATGATGCAATGAATCAAAAATCGGCCTTATGAACCAAAATCAAGTACATGTTACCTTGTGAAACAATATTGTTTCTGGTAATATGATGAGGTGGAGTAAGTTTTATAGAAACCGAATTCCAAAAAATTGAATAAAAATAGCCTATCCCGTCGATTTTCGGAAAATGGGCATCTCACAATCGTAGCTACCTTTTACTCGGCCCGTTGGTTGATTAATTTGCTTTATAAAACTTTCATCTTGTCGTCATTGTGCTTTCTGGTTTTTGTTAGGCCATGATAAAATCTAAGGAAATTAAGAACGAACAACACTATTTGGGATAGGAACCGCCGTTGTCATATCCCTAGAAAATGGTCGTAAACACAGACTCACCTGCCAAACTGGTTTGGTTTGAGATTTTTATCGGGTATCAGGGAACCATGTGATTATAAATTAGACTTGATCAAAACGGGCCAAAACATGAAATTCAGCATGTTTGACCGACCCATGCCAAATTCTAATTATTCTTTACTTTTAAACTTTCTATTTGAAAATAAAAAATAGTGAAAGAAAAGAGATGACTGCAATTCTCCATTTGCACATTACTTATTTGGGAATAAAACCATAAAAATTCAAAAGGAACTGAAAATGTTTAGGATCGTTTTAATGTTTAAAATAACCAAATAGATCTTTCTGTTTAGTTTTTTACTAACAAATACCAAATGATTCCCTATAAAATACACTATAATTTGATCATTATGATATCAAATAATTATATAATATATATTTGAAATGATAAAAATTGGACTAATTGGGTTGGTCGAGGTTGAACCATTGAATAACTTTAAAATACATTATATTTTAGCCACTAAGATATAAAATAATAGCAAAATATATATTATGCCAGAGAAGATAGCTTGTTTTAGAATGACAAACCAATGTTGTTCATTTGTTTTACTTGATGGCCAAATCCCGTGTAGGTCAGGGCCATTCAACTCTTTTATTTTATGGTTAGCGGTTAGCCCATTAGATATCATGCATTAGTTTATTGTTAAATTTTTTATTTTTAGCAATAAAAAGGTGTATTGTTTTTGTCTTTTCATATATATTTTATCATCACAGAGAAATAAAACGGCTTAAAGAAAAAAATTGATACTCCTGGACCCGTTTAAATCCGCATGTGTACGGTAAGTTGGCCCGTTTCATAGAGAAAAAAGAAAAAAATTAACACTCCCTATTCTATCCTTCCTATAAACGCTCCTGGAGCAGGGAATTTGAAATAGGGGAAGGGTTTTTTCCTCCCTGCTATTATATATTTTTTATTTAAAAAGATATAACAAATGTTCTTATTGTAATCCCGTTTTACCCTTCGGTGTATTATATTACTAGCGTGGACCCCGCCAGTTGGCCGCAAGGTGAGGTATGAAATTTGAGAATGTAATGGAGGTGTATAGCTTATTGTTGTATAGTTTTTTTATTTTTTTTTTATACAAATGATAAAAATAGTGAATTTTAGCAGGAAAAAGGCATGGATGATGCAACGAATAAAAAATCAGCTTTATGAACCAAGTTAGAGTACCTTGTGAATCAGTATTATTTCT